ATGAAAAATATATTTGACACAAAATGCTCTATCGTATTTCTCAAAAAATTTCTTTTCACACATAATATTTAAGAGAAGATTTCGAGCAACTCTGTTATATGTCAAACTTAACTGTGCTTGTCTATAAGTTACATATACGTATATACAGGTGAAGTAAAGCCAATGCTCAAGGCTGCTGAAGCCAGTTTAAAGGCACTACGTAAGAAAGATATTACGGAAGTAAAGGCGATAAAAAGACCGCCAATGGGAGTACTCTTAGTGATCGAAGCAATGTGTATTATAAACAACGTGGCACCAAACAAGGTTTTACTCAGAGATATACACAATTTTGCAAATATTTTATGTAATAATTATTAACTATTAAATAGTATTCAAATATCAAAGTAATATTTTTTAATTTGTAATATTTATTATGTAATTATATAATCGTACAATTGTAATCCATCAATCATTGATTTTCATTATTTTTACAATTTATTTATTCATATTTTATATAATAATATATTATTTTAATGATTTGTACTTTTTTAGCATTGTTTTAATAAAATATTTCAACTCTGGACATAATTTTAATAAACATTTTGTGAAGAATTTGTAAAGTACAATTTTTAATTTAGTAATAATTTTTTAGTATAATAAATAAATTTTAAAAAGTAAATGATCATTCTTAGCTTCCTGGAAAACTTCCCGGTGAGAAAATATTGGATTATTGGACTCCTGGAATTGAAATGCTAGAAGATCCAGGTTATTTTTTACATACAATGACACATTTCAAAAAGGAAAATATCACGGAGGAAATTATCAATAAATTAAAAGATTATGTAGAAAATCCCAATTTTCGACCAGATAAAGTAAACATTTAGTTGTAAATAAATAAATATATATATATATATATATATACAGGGTGTCTGGAAATAATCGCCAAATATTTCATGGGCAGATAGAGCGGACTAAACTGAGTCGAAAGTCCTTTACGATTTTGTAAATTTCCCCAATAGTTAACGAGATATTAATCCTTAAAGATAGCCGAATATTACTGCGAAGTGTATACGCCTACCGATCGCTTGGCGCGTGGGCTGTGAGGAGCGGGGATAGCTTGGCAAACGTGCCGTCCGAACTACGGTGGCTTGCGGTGGTGTGCGCGGTGCGGGGCGCTTGTCAACCAATCCCCAATTCCCAAGGCCCAAGCGAGTAGGCATATACACTTCGCAGTAGTAGGTCGGGCGAGCGCTTATTCGGCTATCTTTAAGGATTAATATCTTAATATAATATCTATTAACTATTAAGGAAATTTACAAAATGGTGAGGATTTTTCGATTCAGTTTAGTCCGCTCTATCTACCCATGAAATATTTGGCGGATTATTTCCAGACACCCTGGGTATATACATATATACATATATACATATAT